GGGACCTGACAGGTTCTCACCAAGTAATTTTCCATCATTTATCACTAGTCCTGGCTAACCAGGGAGGTCCCAGTTGACTGGAGGTTAGCTAATGCAATGTTCATCCAGAAGGAGGATTTGGGGAACTTCAGGCCTGTCAGCCTGACCTTGGTGATGGGGAATATTATGGAGCAGATTGTCTTAAGTGACATCATGTGGCATGTACAGGACAGCCAGGGGATCAGGTCCAATCAGCATGGGTTTATGAAAGACAAGTCCTGCTTGACTAACCTGATCTCCTTCTGTGATAAGGTGACCCAAGTAGTGGATGTGGGAGAGGCTGTGGATTTTGTCTACCTAGACTTTAGAAAAGTCTTTGACACCATTTCCCACAGCATTCTCCTGGAGAAAATGGCTGCTCACAGTTTGTATGAGAGTACTATTCAGTGGGTAAATAAGCAGGCCCAAGGAGTTGTGGTGAATGGACTTAAAACCAGTTGGTGGTCAGTCAGAAGTGGTGTTCCCCAGGGCTCAGTATGTGGGCTAGTTCTGTTTAATGTCTTTATCAATGATCTAGAAAGGGGTCAAATACTCAATAACTGCAGGTGACAGCAAGTTGGGCAGAAGTGTCCATCTTCTTGAGGGTAGGAAGGCTATACAAAGGGGTCTGGACAGGCTGGATTGATGGGCCAATTGAATGAGGTTCAACATAGCAACATGCCGGTTCCTGCACTTGGGTCATAACAACCCCCTGCAGTGCTACAGTCTTGGGAGTGAGTGGCTGAAAAGCTGCCTGGCAAAGGACCTGGAGGTGTTTGTTGACAGCTGGCAGTATGGCCAAGAAGGCCAATGGCATTGGCTTGTATTGGGAATGGTGTGGCCAGAGGCACTAGGGAAGTGATTATCCCCCTGTACTGGGCACTGGTGAGGCCTCACCTCGAGTGCTGTGTTCACTTTTGGGCCCCTCACTACAAGAAAGATGTTGAGGTGCTGGAGCATGTCCAGAGAAGGGTAATGGAGCTGGTGAAGGGTCTGGAGCACAAGTCCTGTGAGGACTGACTGATGGAACTGGGGTTGTTCAGCCTGGAGAATAGGAGGCTCAGGGGAGACCTTATTGCTCTCCACAACTCCCTGAAAGGAGATTGCAGAGAGGTGACTGCTGATCTCGTCTCCCAAGTGACAAGTGATAGGACAAGAGGAAATGGCCCAACTTGCGCCAGGGGAGGTTTAGATTGGGTATTAGGAAAACTTTTTTCATTGAAAGGGTTGTCTGGCATTGAAACAGGCTGCCCAGGGAAGTAGAGAAGTCATCATCCCTAGAGGTATTTAAATGACATGTAGATGTGGTGCTTAGGATATGGTTTAGTGGTGGACTTGGCAGTGCTAGGTTAACAGTTATACTTGGTAATCTTAAAGGTCTTTTTCCAACCTAAATGATTCTGTGTGAAAGAAGTCTTTTACTTCTGCATCAAGGTTTAACCCCAGCTGACACCATCACACAACTGCTCACTCACTCTGCCACCCCCTCCCCCATTGGTGAGATTGAGAAGATAATCTGAAGGGTAAAAGGGAGAAAACTCATGGGTTAAGATAAAGACAGTTTAATAGGTAAAGCAAAAGCCACAGAGGCAAGCAAAGTAAAACAAAGAATTCATCACC